TCCCATGTGGAGACCGGTTCCCGCTCACTGGCTGAGCGCGGTGCGGGCGGAACACCGAGGGCTGCAATCCCGTTACCGGTCAGTAAAAAAAAGACAAAAGGGGGGAAAAAAAAGCCTGATTCTGAGTTTCTCTGCTCTCCCATTTTCTGCCATGTGAGACCCCTGCATTGCTGTAAAGACACCACCAAAGAAGATCCTCACCAGATGTGCTCCCTGGACTTAGGAATTCCCAGCCTCTGAAGCTGTAAGCAATAAATTTCGTTTTCTTTACAAATCACCCAGTTTCAGGCATTTATGTTATAAACAACAGAAACGGACATCCACAAACACTTATTAAGTGCCTTCTGTGTATGGTGGCTGGTGTTGGAATGGTCGAGACCCTCTGCTTAAGTGAACTTGTGTGCATTGCAGAGGGGACATATGGATACACAGTCTCCACCTTAGGAGAAGAGCTGGGGGTTGGGGAGAATCGGGAGGCTGAACAGAGTCACAATTTAAGTGACCAAGCACCATCACCACCTTCCCGCCACCAAGTTCCACTACTTCAGATGGGGAGCGCGACGCCTCCAGTGGGGCCTCCTCTAATTCCTGCACACAACATATTGGCTCTCCGTCTTTAAGGTGCCTCCGACCCCAGGGCCCTTTTCTAAGGAGAAAGAAAACTACAACGTGGGCTTCTGCCCAGAAAGCCCAGATACCTGGAGCAGGAACAGGCAGAAGATGCACGGTGGACACAGAAGGGAGCGAGCCCCCACTTGGGCGGAATTCCACTTGCACCCCCACTTCAGTCTTCAACCTGATGCTCCAGACAGGAGGGATGCGGAAAATGAACACGCCTTCCTCCCTGTAAAACGGGCCGACGAGGATGGGATTCGAACCCACGCGTGCAAAGCACAATGGATTAGCAGTCCATCGCCTTAACCACTCGGCCACCTCGTCCCACGTCCGGCACCTCTCTCCACGTCCTCTTATCTCCCATCTCTCCGCACCTGCGGGTCCGCCACCCCCCACCTCCCAACGCCGACCTCGTCGGGGCTCCGGGGAGTGAGAAACGGCGGAAAGAAAGACGCTTTTGTTTCTCCTCCCGGCCCGAGCCGGCGCCGGCCTTCTCTGAGCCGAGCTCTGCCCCAGGTCCGC